AGAGTGGTAGAATTGACTTCAAAAACTCAGAAGGGGCAGAGTGGGAAGGGAGTGAGGGATAAAAAAACTACCTATTGGCTGTAATATATACTACTTGGATGACACGTGCACTAAAATATCAGATTTTACTTCTATACAATTCATCCATGTAACCAAAAATCACTCATATTCCAAAGGCTACTGAATTTTTTAAAAGCATTAATAAAATAAAAGATATATATATTAAAAAAGGAATTTATACTCATTTATTTAGCTCCCACAATTAACCTTAGGAGGTAAGTACTTCATACTTGGTAGTATACGTTTTTTTTTTTTGTTGTTTGTTTTTTTTTGGGGGGTGGAGTTTCGCTCTTGTTACCCAGGCTGGAGTGCAATGGCGCGATCTCGGCTCACCGCAACCTCCGCTTCCTGAGTTCAAACAATTCCCCTGCCTCAGCCTCCCAAGTAGCTGGAATTACAGGCACACACCACCATGCCCAGATAATTTTTTTTTTTTGTATTTTTAGTAGAGACGGGGTTTCCCCATGTTAACCAGGATGGTCTCGATCTCTTGACCTCGTGATCCACCCGCCTCGGCCTCCCAAAGTGCTGGGATTACAGGCTTGAGCCACCACATAATTGGTAGTATATTTATCTTTTACTAAATAATTGTATTACTTGGGAAGTTGGGGGGTGGGGAGAAGTAGCAAGGTACTATGATTTGGGGCAGATAACTAACTCATCTTTTATGTATTGGCACATGCTGTTTAGACCGTGAGACACTAGCCAAGGTCTCTCCTCCTCACCTAATCAAAGATGAAATATGTAGGACGAAATAATTGGCAGCCCAATGCTGAGTTTGCAAGCCTAAGTATAAAGTAACAATGGATATGTCAGAAGGCTACTAGGGTTTTATTTATTTAAATCTATTTCATGGAATTGACTACCACCTTAATGGCCTGAAAGCGTTAAAGTGTGTCCCAGAATACCTAAACTGCTCCCTAAATGTAATTTATGCTTGCGAATAATCCGATTTACTTGATTTAGAACAGCAGGAAATAAGTTATGCTGCACATAAATGAAGCAGCAGTGTAATTTTAAAAACTGGTTGCATAGCGAATGAGAATTTTAATATTTGCAAAATTCTAAAATCACTTGATTTACTATCCATATGTTTATAGTGACATTTTTTGGTCCTTTGTTAAGTTCTATCTATATTTCTTCTTACTGCCAAGAAAAACAAACTTTTTTCCTAGAAATATTACAGAAGGCAAAAATTATATTTGTTTCCCTCAACACTATTTTTGATGTCTCTATTTCTGGTTGTTACCATTTTCTTCATTCATGGGCAGTTCAATTAATGGAGTGAGAGAAATTTAGGAAGTACAGTGACTAATTAGATATTAAATTTGTAAATCTAACATTGTAAAACCAGAAAATCTCTCTATATATGTATATTAATTTGGAATTTTCCTTGGTAAAAAGTGTTTAAGTTTATAAGTCGTCATGATAACAAAATAAATTTTACATAAATTTAAGAATAGATTTAGACTCTGCTATTAACAACAGATATTAAATACTGAATAGTATATTTTAAAATTTTATATGAGGCTTGAAATGGAGTTTAAAGTATTATTACTCACATTAAATGTCATCCATGTAAAGCACATGATTTTATTCTTTAATATTTTGTTTGAATAGAGCTACTTATTTTAACAGTAATTTTAATAATAAAATTAACTCAACTTTACAGTTTTCAAAGGTTTAGCAATTGCATGCTATAATCAATACTTCATTTTTATGTATTTATCAAGTGACAGTGTAAGTCATTTATATTAGGTCCTTCAGGATGCAAAAGTTTAGATTATGTGAGGAGAAGAGGGCAAAAGGGAAGAAGGGCATTTTAGAAATATGCTGCTGATATGCAAATTCACAAGTCCTAAGGCAGTAGCAGTGGTCAGGCAAACTGCAGACAGTCCTGTGTAGCTAGCTGTAAAGTCCATGCTGCCTCTCTCTTGTGAGCCTGTAACAATGGTGTAGGGAAGGCCTGTTCCCCTTCTCTTCCCACCTCCAGCTCTGCTTTACAGAGCTAGGGGTACCATGATCAAGTGTATGAAACCTTATAATTTTCTTCTCTCAGGAGAATGTAAAGGAAAGATAATTTGTAGATAACTTGTACAAAGGAAAAGAATTCGGGGTGAGAGGGGGATTTGTCGAATTTGGTAGAGGATGGTAATTATCAATATGATGAGTGATTCAGAAACAAGTCTGTACAACAGATTTGAAATTAGAAATCTTTGGGGTGTACAGGATCCTGAAATGAAGAATGGGCATTTATAGACATATGTTGGAGAAACAGTTGCCTCCTAGTAGCTAAAAGTGGTGGTAAAAGTATAGTTCAAGTGGTTGCGTAGGAAATACAGCATACCAAGGGTGAGGACTGATGGTTGCTACAAAGGTGGAGTGGTAGGTAAGTTGTGACCAACCAGTACTTCTCTGTGCTCTGGTTAGATAATGACTTTTTCTCAGACGGTGGTAGCAGGAGGAGGGTTGGGGTTATCTGTCATTAGCATATGAGACTGCCATTTAAAATTATTTTAAAATTATTTTATTTTTCTGACTCTGAAAATATGAAAAGCACATTGTAAACAAATTGAACAATATAGAAAAAGTATGTAATAAAATTAAATATATTCTGACCAGTATGGAACAGTGCTAACTATGTTGCATAGGTTTTTTTTCCTTCAGATTCTCATTCAAAATGCATGTAACATATGCAATGTGCAATTTGTTTTTAAAGGAAATAAACTCTTAAGATATATTCATAGGTCATTTATTGTATGTTATATAATACTAAAAATATATGAATGCTAAATTATTAGTAAACATGCAAAAACATTCCCAAGATCATTTTGTTGTAGAAGGATATATTATATCTGAATAACTCTGGAATACCATAAATTATAAAAGATAAGCTTCTTATTTTTCACTAAAGTAGTTAGAGAACACCTCTTTTGGCTACCTTCGTTTGCCTTTGTTATGCTACCAAAATGCTGTCTGTTTTATGTGGTTTTAAAGGTTAAGCATATAATCATTCATTAAATACAGTGTCTGAAAGAATGCAATGTACATGTAGATACTTTATTAAATTTTAGGTAAATAATAAAAATCAGGGAAAAAACCTGTAGAGCTATCACTTTCAGTTGTTTAACTGGTAAGGTGAAGCTTCATCCTGGAAAAAGAAAATATTTCACAAGACAGCATGTGAGTTGGTAGAAAGGTGCCATTGAATCAAGAGATATTTGGGTTAGAAGCCCCTCTCTACTATTTAATACCGTTTTCACCTTTTTGCAAATTACTTGGCCTCTGTTTTCTCCAATGGAAAATGGGAATAATAATTTCTATGCTGAAGGGTTATTGTAAGTGTCAGTGAAATGGTATGCCTGGCACTGTAAAAGCACAGAGCCCCAGAGCCCAGTGCCTGGCTTTTTAGTAACTGTTTAATAAATATTAATTCCATTCTCTGCCCAGTATGTCAGTAGGCAGATGTAGCAGTTTTAAAATTCTAGGGTTACTTTAAATTCCTGAATGAAGGTAGAGGACTGAAGAGATATCATAGTATTCAAAAGTATGATCTGTTGCTGCTTAAGAATAGAGGCAGCACCATAGCCAGTAATCTTTAGGCTGCCTTTTGGTTTAGTGCTCACAGATGCTTGTTTGGACAGGCCCCAGGAAATCTGGTAGATTACAAGCCCAATAAGAATTCAAATCTTAGTTTAAAGCAGTGTTTTCCACCTGGATGCTTTGAAAAATACCGATCGATGTTAATTTCCAACCTCCAAAAATACTGATTAAGTTGGTCTGGAGTCAAGCTCCAGGATCACTGTTTTGTTATTGTTGTTGCTGTTTTTTTTTTAATGCTCCAGTTGATTGTTATGTGCAACTGTCTTAGATAAATATAAAATCCTGGTTCATATTATTTCTAACTCAGTCTCTTTTATGACTGGAAGGTGACCACGTACTTGCTTCCTAATATTCTTTCCATGTGTGATATTTACACATTTGACTTGTGCTAAGTCCCTTCAGCATTCCAATCTAGAATTTAAGTGGATACAATGAAATGCAGTTTTAAAAAGGCATCACATTGTTCAGACTAGTTTATCAGTTAGTTAAATGCTTACATCTGAGCCTACAATACGATTACATCTTCATCTTATTTTGAATATGGACAGAATCTTTAATAATTTTGATGAATTATTGATTTATTGGTGTGATAATGGTATTTTACTTATGTTTTAAAGTTTTATTTGACATGTAATAATTATATGTATTCATTGGGTACAGTGTGATGTTTCACTGTAATGTTTCATTGTGTAATAATCAAACCAGGGTACTTAGCATATCCATAGCCTCAAACATTTATAATTTCTCTGTGATGAGAATATTTAAAATTCCTTCACTATTTTGAAATATACAGTTTAATATTATTAACTATGTTCATCTTACTGTGCAATAGAACATTAGAACTTATTAATCCTTTCAATTGATGAATAGACAGTTTTGGATCAAGAATAATATTGAAAGTGAAAGAATTTATGAAGTAATTTAGTTTTTATTCAAAAGTATTTTGAAATTGAATATATAGCTTCCAAATTTATGACAATGTTATTTTTTAATTTCTACAATTAAAATAATTTATATATTCTTAGGAAAGAAAATGCTAATGGTCCAAAATAGTTGCCTTATCTTTGTTTTAATCAAGAAACCTATTCATTTTAAGGGAAAAATTGCAAACTTTAATTTAAAATTGTCTTATATATTGAGTACTTTTTTAAAATTATTCGGGGTACATGCTAAGTATATATATTCATTTTTATTTGTTAATTGATACTGAACTTTACAAATGCAAGAAACTATCAAAATGATATCTTTGTAAATATAACCAAAATATATGTTATAGCTATATAAATTTGTTTTATATAATCCATTTATTTTTCTTGATCCACATGTTTTACCTGCAGGCGATTTGACAGATCTGTTGAGAAATGGCGGCATTTTCATTACGATATAAAGATATTTAATCAATGGCTAACAGAAGCTGAACAGTTTCTCAGAAAGACACAAATTCCTGAGAATTGGGAACATGCTAAATACAAGTGGTATCTTAAGGTAAGTTTTTGATTTGTTTTTCCTAAATTGTATTTATCTTTACCACATCTGGTCTGTTGAACTTCTTTAAGTTCAGGTTGTGAAGGATGACGGAAATTACCACTTTAGACTTTTGTTGTCGTCATTATACATACTAGAAAGAAAATTATCATAATGATAACATTAGGGAAATATGCTATGGCCTTTTTGTGTCAAGATGAGAGAGTTTGCCTGGACAGAACTGGTTTATCTGACAAACTGCAAAGTGTCGTTGAATTTGTGGCAAAGGGAAGCGTCTTAACAGCAAGGTGTTTTGTGGCTTTGGGGTAGTGTGTATTTTTGCCTTATGTTGAAACCTTTCCAGAAGAACTTGTGATATACTTAGCAATAGTGAAGTTGCTAGAAATATCCTTCATGATAAAATTATAGTTATGTTTTTCTAAAGAGAATTTGTTGTGATATAGCAATATTTCTAAATATTCTATTGACAAAATGCCTTCTGAAATAGTCCAGAGGCCAAAACAATGAAGAGTTAAGCGGTGATACTTATTGACTTCTTTATGGTTTATTTTAATAGAGGTGCAACATATGGATGATAACCAGTATATAGTTTAATTTCAACTTTTTGTGTCTTGAATATGCAGGTAAAGATCAATTAGATTGTCGATAATATAATTTGGTTGCTAAAACATATAGTTTAGGCATAAGAAACATTGTTTATTACACAAAGGTTTAATTATTTTTGCATCTTTTTTAGCTCGAATTGTTCATGTTGCAATAGTCAATCAAATGGATTTGAATTGTAGCCAATTTTTAATACCAGAAAATACTGATTAAGACAGATGAGGGCAAAAAACAGCCAGTAGTTTATTAAATAGTTTTGATATTTCAAAATTCTGCATTCACAAAAGCAATACCATATTTGACTTTACTAGTATCTGTTCTCAAATATGTTTCCATAGTGAATATGCCTTTTTATTTAAGGAATTAAGCATGTAAACACCTATGTATATAATAAGCTATTTTTAAAATCTTGCATAATTATATGTACATCAATCAAACTTATATGCACATCAGCATTGAGATTTGTATATAGAGGAAATTTATGGATTCCCAGACTGCTTTAATACAGAAGATACATTTTTTAAATAGCACTGAAGCAAATTTTGAACTAATGTGATATAATGGGGTCTCTGCCTAAGAGGCAGAAATATATTAGAGTTATATAAAATATTTTGGAGGAGATATAGAAACCACTTGCCATTGTTAATGATATCCAGCACAAGGTAGTTATATATTTTGATCTATATTTTTATTATAAAATTAGTGCTGATTGTGAAAAACATCAAGTAACATAGAAATTTATAAAAGTACTTCCATTCTAGTCTTTGGAGGATAGTTGTTCAGTATGGATTTTGGTACATGTTTCAGGTTGGGTTTCTTGGAAAGTCATTGTAAAATGGAGATTTGTATGTAGAAGGTTTATCAGGGAGTGCTTTTATAATCAAGCAATTTGTTTTGACTTAACTTGGGGTAGTTTTCTTCATATTTCTTGTTATTAAAATCAGTTAAGTTCTTTAATCTGTGTATTTAACATTTTATCAAATTTAGAGACATTTCAGCCATAAATTTTATAAAATGGGACTCCATTTGCACATTTATTAGGCTCCTTAAAGCTGCCCCACTACTCACTGATGTTATGTTCATTTTTGTTTTAGTCTTTTTTCTCTATAATTCATTTTACATAATCTTTATTGTCCAATTGACTAATCATTTTCAAAGTCTAATCTATGGCTAATCCCATGTAGTATGTATTTTTAACATCAGATATTTTCATCTCTTAGAAGTGTAATTTGGGTCTTTTTTTTCTTCCATGTGTCTACTCAACATGTTCAGTCTTTTATCTACTTTCGTGCTTGTATGGAATACAGATATAATAACTGTTAGAATATTCTTCTCTACTAATTTTATCATCTGTATCTACTCTGGGTTAATTTAAATTGATTTATTTTTCTCCTCATTAAGGGTGTTATTTTACTGCTTCTTTGGATGACTGGTAATTTTTTATTATATGCCAGACATTGTGAATTTTAACTTGTTAAGTGCTTGATACTTCAAATAAATTAAAATATATTGAAATAAATATTCTTAACCCTTGTTCTAGAATCCAGTTAATTTACTTAGAAACAATTTGATCTTTTGAGAATTTTCCTCTTATACTTTGTTAGTTATGACCAGAACGGTACACGTTTAGGGCTACTATTTCCCCACTATTGAGGCAAAACCCTAATGAGTACTCTCTCTGATGCCCTATGAATGATAAAATCTTTCACTGGGGTTGGTGGGAACAGGTGGTATTCCTAGCCACATGTGAGCTCTCATGATTGTTCCCTTTAATTCTTTTGCATAGTTCTTTCCTTAGCTTTGAGTGGTTTTCTCACATACATGAACTGATCAAGGTTCAGCTGAAGAATAAAATAAAGCTTTCTGGAGATCTGTAGAATTTTCCCTGTGTATATATCTCCTCTGTGTTATTTTACCCATGATCATTAGTCAACCTTGGGCTGCTGAAACTCTTAGCTTCATCTTGTAACACAAGAAAGCCTCCTGGCAGGGAACACTGTCCTTCAATGTCTGATGCTCAATGTGTTGAAAACCATCGTAGTATATATTTTGTCTGTTTTTTATTTAAGTGTTTCAGGCAGGAGGTTAAGTCTGGCCTCCTTTACTCCAACTTGGCAACAAGTCCATAACAAACTATTTTGATGTAATTTGATCTTTTAATACATTACCATTACACAATTCTGAAGATATATCATACTTTTAAATTTCTAGAGAATGTCTAATGGTCCTCATTTCTTGACAATATGGTTTAGTTGAAACTGATGAACATTTTATCAAAACTTTCTTCCTCAATTGGAGATTTGTTTTTCTTGAGATGGAGTTTTCCTCTTATCCCTCAGGCAGGAGTGCAATGGCATGATCTCAGCTCACTGCAACCTCTGCCTCCAGGCTACATGCAATTCTCCTGCCTCAGCATCCCTTGTAGCTGAGATCAGTATGCCTGGCTAATTTTTGTATTTTTAGTAGAGACAGGGTTTCACCATGCTAGGCTGGTCTCGAACTCCAACCTCAGGTGATCTACCCATCTCAGCCTCTCAAAGTTCTGGGATTACAGGCATGAGCCACTGTGACTGACCAATGGGAGAATTTTTAAAAGGCTATTTTATCAACTCTATTTCTTTCTCAAGCTATAGACAAAATAAGAAAAATCATTCTAGATGTTCAAGGAAAAGTTCTTTCAGAAAACAGCTGTGATTGATATCACGAAATCCCCGAACAGTAAAGGTATTTCTTTCCTGGTTATTTTGTGTCCAAAATCATGCATATGAACATGTGCACACATACATGTACACACACATAATACGTCTTAGGTTATCTTTCAATTGTAATTGTCTTAAAAATGGGTCAACCCTGTACGACACCTTCATCAATAAAGCAAATCAAAGCTTTGGTAGTTTCAGCTATCTTGACCATTGTTGATTGATTAACAATGAATAGCATAATGAGTTTAAATATTTGCTATGAAATTATTTTAGAAAACAGGATGTAGACAGTGTCTGTTAGCACACAATTGTTTGGCATGAGCCAGTAATGGTTACTGTGAAAAAAATCAACCAAGCAGCACATATACTAAACAAATAATGAAGAAACACAATGGAGCTTGAAGTCTCATATGTGTCATTTTCAGGAAAGAAACAATTTTGAGATATGAAATAAATAGGTATGTATCGTAAACTTGTTCATGTATACTTCTATAAAATTACATCTTTTTTTTTACTTATAAAAGAGAAGTTAGTGTTTTAACTGAGACTTAGTGTTGTCATTCAGAACATAGTGACTGCCAATAGCAGCAGAAAGATAGTCTGGTCCTGTGCACTGTATTATTTTTTTCTTTGTCACAAGTAAATGACAAAATTAAATATATTAATTAGTGCTGTTCGAAGATATTCCAAAGCAATATACCGCACCACTGTGGAGAACCTCTCTAAAAAGATCACTCTTTTACCCGAGAAAATATCAATCATGTTATATGCCACTCAAATTGGTTTATTAATAAAGTCATTTAATGATATCATTACCATCTCTTAATATATTCATTAAACAACCAGATACAAAGTTTTATCATCTGCTAAAATAGTGACAATCCACATTAGGCTCTAATAGTTTAGAAGAGTGGTTAAGAGGTTCAGCGCGGGACTCAGAAAGCTTGGATTCCAATCCCAGGTCCTTTAGCTTACTAGTTGTAGAATCTTGTGAAAATATCTTGATACTTTTCATGTCTCTGCTTTCTATTCTCTAAAATAGAAATATAAATGAGATGTATATAAAGCCACTTGAAATAGCATCTTTCACAAAATACTCATTAAATGTAAGCTCCTATTATAATTAATCACGCTTCATAAATTATTAGTTCGTATCAAAACAAACTGAAATTTATTTACTGAATTATTATCTCTAAACATCTACAATGTAGAAAAACCAACCTGGAAATTACATAAAACTTCATTTTTATGTAGTATAATTTCTTCTCAAAAAATAGCTCTTGGATTAGGAATTGAGGAAAATTCCAATTTAGCCAAATGAATCTGTTTCAGATAGCTGACACTTCTGCCTACTCATTTTCTTACTAACAAGAAGAAATGTTAATGGGAGTTTTCAAAGGAAAAGCTGAACACCATGAAGGAAAGTGACACAAATAATGTTAGCTCATATAGTGACAGAGTGAATTTATGTGCCATCAAGTACCTTCAGTGAAAACAGGAAAGTAGAAATTATAAAGTGCCCTAACATTTAAATCTAGCATATTCTTATAGACTAGGAAAAAATAAATTTTAAAACATGGGCCATAATTGAATGAGATGGAAAGTTTTTGTAGTTGTCATTAGAAACAGTAACCATCACCATTAGATTAAGTATTTAAACCAGCTGAATTTTTTTTATTACTGGAAATGGCATCT